CCTTCAGTACTCACTGGCAAGAAGAATAAAGAGATGGGATTTGTCATCTGGTATCACTAATGGTTGCAGTCCTTATTTGAGTCTAATAAACTCTAACAAAAAGTTCACTTATTTTAGTGATTGGAATATAATAGATACATGATGTTGGAACCAATTAGCATTGCATTTAGTCAAACTACAAAGCTTATAAGAAAGCATGGAATGAGCAAACTAAGTAGTTCTGACCTTCCACAAATCGTATCTGCACTATCTTGGACTCTACTCAATTAATTTAACATATTGACGTAAAATGTTTCTCCTTGCTTTCAAAGGTAATCCAGCAAATCTCCAGAATATAAACTTCCATGCTACAAAGTTCCACTTGGACAATTGCTTTCCATTGCAGCAGATCACCCTGTTCCTCTCTGTATATTGATGAGACAAAAATAAAAAGAAATGAATAAAAAATAATAAATAAATGTAAAAAAATTAAAAAAAGACGAAACCTTGGGCAAGATTCCTTACTCCACATGCCTAATAATAATCCCTCAAGAAAAAAAAACAATAATAAATTGATCACTTCAATCCATGACTGTTTGTGGGACACTGCTGTGCTCAATTTGGCCACTGCATTTCGCCCACAAATATACAGTCAATTCACTTTACAGTATATTCTGTGAAGCGCTTTGAAACGTCTAGAAGACGTGAAAAGCGCTATATCAAATGCATGGATTATTATTATTATTATTGAACCGAGACCCCATCTGCCTGTTCAAGTGGATATTAAAAATTCCATGGCACTATATGAAAAGAGAAGGGACTTTCTCCTAATGTCTTGGCCAACAATCCTCAAAATAAATTTGGTCATTCACTGCATGGCTCAGTAACTGAGGGACGATCAGGTCTGGTGTACTTCCTCCACATTTTTTCTGGGTTTTCTTTTTGTCTCAATGCTAAAATTCCAAACATTTGAAGAATCCTTAGTGATCCTATCTTTAGAAAGCAAGGATTTTCAATAAAGATCAAAATCTGGTAATGTGATTATTTTACAAATTGATTATGTCCACCAATAGTTTATACTAAACCAGTGTCTCTGTTGGATTTTGGAATCTTTCTCATTTGAAGCTAATGATGTACTTGATAGTTTGTGGATGTTTTGGAACTTGTTATAGTAAAAATAAAGAAATCCCCATAGGTTATTCAGTTACCAATTAGCTTGACTTCCTGTGAAATAGATGATCTGCTTGACAAATCCCAGGAAAATGGGATTAGAAAAAAAATTCAAATAGAAGTTGTGTCGGAAAGCTCCAGCAAATTCCTTAATTTCTAAACTTTTAAGGATTCATTTCAGCATCCGGTTCATTCTCCTTCCCTCCTCGCCATGCTTAGAATAGGAATTTAAAAAGTCAATATGTTAGGGCAGTCTCAGTGTTAATTTTAATGGGAGCACAAATAGTCTTTAATTTGGCACTAATTTGTACTCTCACTCACATTTGATAGAAAGACTGGTGGGGAAAGCAGATGGAGTCATGCTGCTACCATAATGGGTGCTTTTCTGAGGTTGGGAATGTAACACAGTTTAGGGTTGTTTGTTATGATGTTCGCTAAGAATAAGAATTCCTCATCATAAAGACTGCAATTTGTTTTGTAGAGTGGAGAGACTTTTACTTTGTTTCTAACTATGCTCCACTGGGAGAGTTTGATACTTGGTGCCTGAAATAAAAACTTGTTCATGTCCTGCCCTAGTAATTTGAAGGAAAAAAATGCAGCCCAAAAATGGTGTTTGTGGTCTCCTCCATCTATACATAGCATTCAAGATAAATACCAAGACCATAAAGCCAAATAATAATATACTAATGGAGGTGTCCAACTGAGAGCCCAGAGGAAAACTGCTCGGATGGAAATTGCACAGTGCATTTAAGTCAAGCTTTTTAGAGACTTGCATATTTTTCTAAATGAAACAGGTCAACTTATTAAGAAGCTTTGGAGATTCACAGTGTCTCATTGTGTGCTAGATACAGGTCAACAAACTCTTCAAAACTACATTAGGCCATTGGCTGGCTTTTTCTTAGGTAACAAGAAAGTTCATTACAACTGTATTGAGATTTGCTTAGACACTAGTATGAATCATTGCGAACAATTTATTTAAATCATTTGGACATTTTGGTACAAAAAAGAATAATGAATGCTGGTCTAAGTCAGATTTACTACGCAAACTCATTGATTAAGTGTGAACACATATTCATTTATTCAGGGCTTTGTGTCTATCTTCATTTGTATAAAAATAATAATAATAATGATTGTTATATTTGGTGTAGCACCTTTCAGTTAGAGAGGACGTCCCAAAGCACTTTGCAGGATATACTGCATATCAAAGCTCCAAAATAATCTCATGGTCCTAGCCTTAATAGCATTGTTTTAAATTTAAGAATGTGCAGAATTTAGACAATTCTTAAATTCATCTTAATTTGCAAATTAAGTTCTAGTTCTTAAGGCAACAACAACAACAACTTGGACTTATATAGCGCCCTACACACTGGACGGCGTCTCAGAGTGCTTTACAGTTTCGGATCCCGGGATTAGGAGTGTAGGATATTTCGGGCCTCAGGATTTCATTTATCCCAGTTATTTTTCTAATGTATCTTTAAATATCTCCAAGTAGTGCCTACTAGCACTTTGATAACTTTCCAAACTAATTGATGTACACCTCATTCTGCTTTACCACTTGTTGTATATTGCCAGTATCTTTTCAATAAACAAAATGTAGCTTGCCTTTCAATTAATCTTAGTTAAGACAATAATAATAATCCTTGCATTTGATATGATGCTTCTTGATGTTGTTAAGACGTCTCAAAGCACCTTACAGGATATACTGTAAACTGCAGTGATTGTTTATTGTGAATGAAGGTGGCAGTCGTTTATACAGAGCAATGTCTCACAAACAGTCATGCAGTGAACAATCAATTTTAAATAGGGAATTAACACATGTTTACCTTATTCAAATAGTGCCATGGGATCTTTAATATCCACCTGTACAGGTAGATAGCACCCTAGTTTAATGTCTTGTCCATCCACAGAGGTAAGCAACTCCTGCTCAAGCTTTGGGTCGGGATATATCAATATACCTGATTGGGTAGGATTATGGTGGCAACGCTTTTACATATTTTATACTGAGCTGTGCTGCTCACCAAGAAGCTCACAGAGAGTTCCTGTTATCCACCTGAAGTGAAGGCTTAAACCTGCTGACCAAAAAAAACCTGGAAATAAATAATTTTAAAAATTGTACATCCTATGCAAAAGTGAAATCAATTTGTACCAGTGCCATCCCATAACCAACAACAACAACTTAATTTATATACAGTCAGGTGGAGAGCTTGGCTCTGGAGTCACAACCTATATACACGTACAGAGAGCATCAATTGACTAGCAACCAGTGCGGTGTTTCCTTAATGCCATTATCAGCTTAATGATGTATTGCATCATTCGCATCGCTCCCTTCAATATATACATACTTGGTGACAATCCTCAGACACAGGGTCAACTTCCACATGTACGCGGATGACACCCAACTCTATCTCTCTGCCTCCTCGACTCCAGGACCACTGCTGTCAATTCCTGGATGAGAGCTAACTTTCTTCAGTTGAAGGTCAACAAGACCGAGGCTCTCCTGATTGGAGCTCACCATCCAAGGATGCACTCTCCACCTTACTAAGCCAATCCCGAACCTTGGCGTCTTATTTGACCCTCAACTATCCTTTCTACCCCACTACCCCAGATGCTTTCCCCCATCTCCGCAACATTGCCTGGCTCCGCCACTGTCTCACACCGCAGCTGACGAAGCTCTCGTATACGCATTCATAACATTTGGGCTTGACTATGCAAACTCTCTGCTAGTCAGCCTCCTCAACTGTTCCCTCCATAGGCTGTAGATCATCCAGAACTCTGCAGCCCGTGTCCTCTTCCGCATCAGGCTCCGTGACCCTATCGCCTCCATCCTTTCTCGACTCCACTGGCTTCCACTCACTCAGAGGATACAGTTCAAGATCCTGGTCCTCACCTTCAAAGCCCTCCATGGCTTTGCTCCCCCTATCTCTGCAACCTCCTAACCCCCTACCAACCTGCCTGCTCCCTCCGCTCAGCAGGCGTCCCTGCTTCACGTCCCCCGCCTAGTCTGCCCCCACCCTCTTGAACTTCATCCCGCAGTCCCTCTGCCTCAATCCGACCCCCAGGTTGGGTCTGAAACACTGATTGTCCAGCGCCTTGGGACGTCCTCCCAATGTGAAAAGCACTATACAAATGTAATTATGTTGTTGTTGTTGTTATTGCATGAGTCTATAAACATTTGTGACTCATAATGCTGAAAGTTGTTTCATTTGTATCCAATTATAATTTCAATTGAATTATGCAACAGTTTAGGTTGGTTTTGACCATTGTCTGATAGTCTTTTCAGTACCTTGGAATATCCTCCTGATGTGAAAGTATTACATAAATGCAATTTGTTATTGTTGTTGTCCACAGAGTGGATCTTCACATCTTAAACAGCACGTTGCGGCGTCATTTCAGACATAAGAACCATTGAAAAATTGAAGTTGTCCACCTACTCGTTCATCTCTTTGACCACTTTTCAGTCATCTTCCCCCCCCTCCCAGCCCCAGCTCGGGCGCCCATCAGCATTATTAAGCCCTTGGGGACGTCCCCGTGTTAGGCAACAACATGACTACAAATGTCACTGGTGAGAGAAGCTATGAGGAGATGGGTCAGTGCAACTCCAGGGTTCAACATGATGTCATTGACAGGGTTGGGTGTTGCTGGCTCAGAGAGAGAGAACAGTGTGGGTTGGTAGAGATTTGAGATCAGTGAATTTTTTTTCTGGGGAAAGGTGTTGGGAGGAGATTCAGGGCGTTAGGACCCGCAGGGAAACTAGTGCCTCAGGTAGGAGCTTTGCAGTTTCTCACCGACTCTCTGCCTTGCTCTCTTCTCCTTCACTTTGGCTAAAAAGCCTGGCTGCAAAACAGCAGCGATCTGCACTCCAGCAAACGGGATTAGCTGACAACACAGTGCAATAGCAGCTTCCCGACATGACTGTCCGGAATGAGTAACCGAGCGAGGAAAGTGAGTGGGGAAACAAGCCGGAGATTTGTTTTGAGGATGTTCTTCCCAGATGCGCGTTGCACACGCTTGGATGGGATCTGCCTGAGAGTGATGGGTCTACTTTGGCTCAGCAGCTTTGCCAAAACCTCTTCGGACTTTTCTGGTAGGTGATGTGAGTGACAGACAACACACAGAGGAGAGAGGGGGGAACTGTAGAGACAATATCTTATCAATGCGAATTTAAAGTGGTTAATACTCCAGTAACAAATATTGCAGTTGATTCAAACACACACACACATTCAAACAGAACACACGTTTTAATATATATATATACACTGTATATATTTATTATTGTGGAAGAAGGTGACTAAAGATTGTGAAATGTACAGTAGTTTAAAATCACTGAGACTGGAGGCACAAGAATCGCTTTCACGAGAATAATTAATCCTATTTCTTATTAAATACACACAAGTCTGTCCCATCTTTGTTGTTGTAAATTGCAATGCAAATAAATAGCGTTGTTTCAGATTGGATTAAAGCGAAGTGCTGCTTTGTAATAGGTTTGGAAAAGTGTAAACACGAATCCATCATCCCCCACTCTGTTAATTACTTTAATTGGGTAAACTTTTACAAGACTTTCCTTTTTACACTCTACCACTTTCCACCTTGAAACTCAGAGAAACGAGGAAGTGAGTATAAGGTATTTGCACTGGAGAATTGGCTCTGATATCGTATTCTCAGGGACACACAGTACTGCAGTAAGGTGGTTTTTCCCGAAATGTCAGATTAAAGAGGGCAATATTTCAGTAATAAACAACGCAGTTGATTCAAACAAAGTTATTTTCTACCAACTCTGTCCATTGGGACCCAAGAGTTAAAGCAGTCTTGCACTGTGCAGTGCTTTCCACTGTGATAAACAGGTTAACCAGACTCACTGGGCTGTGCATGTTTCACCTTGTTTTGGCAGGGCTGTTTACAGGCTCCTCTGGGAAGATCCCATCTCTTTCCCTTTACCGCATCGCTGAGAAAGTTGAATTAAGGCAAAATTGGTACGTGCTTTCTTTCGCTCGGTCGGCGTGGATGGGGTTGACTGGTCAATGGGGTAACTCGGTGGTGAGATCTCTCAATAGGAAGGATTATCCATGGCTCAACTTTTGCCTGGGGTCAGGAATGGTGGGGTATGCTTTCCACACATCAGTGCAGGTTAAATGCAAGGATTATATTGTCATGAGTCTCCCCTCCCTGTAGTAAAACCATAATTTCAAATGGGCAAAGTCACACAAACCCTTTCTGTGCAGGTCCCAGCAAAACTCACACTGCACCACGTTAGTCATTAATTCCCTTTCATGCCTTTGTGGGGCTCCCAGAGTGGACCACAGGGCGGCTGGAGGCACATTTGTTTAATAATGAGTCGTTTAAAATGTAAACCATCCCTTTGTCACTTCGCTGCTAATTGGCTCTGTATGTTTATTCCACTGACCATTTAGAGGTTGGCGATCCTCCACACAAAACTCTCTCCTGTCCTCGCCGTAATAAAGACAATTTGTTTGACACGTCCTTTCAGATGATTATGGAGGGGATGTGCATGTTAACTAACCCCCATCGGAATGGTCTTTAAATAGGCTTTGATGCAGCGTTTGGAAACAAAGCGACTTGGGCCCCAGACTTCTCGGTCCAGTGCGTGATAGCTGAAAAAATAATCTTATATAATAATAAATGTACAGTCAATTCACTTTGCAGTATATTCTGTGAATCGCTTTGAGGCATCTTGAAGTTGTGATTAGGATAATAATAATAATCCTTGCATTTGATATAGTGCCTACATTATCAATAGATTTAATACTTTAACCAGGCGGTTCACGGGATTTTATTGTGAAGTGTAGAAATTGTATATTTGTCTACAAATATGAGAATATCTTATTTTTGGTATAAAAATGGGAATTAGGAACCAACTGAGGGATACAAATTAGCTTCTTGTTCTTTCACATTGGAGTCCTGAGGTTGAAACCAGCCAAGACTAATGGATTGAAAAGTCAATCATACTTAATATGAGTTGGTCAGTCTCAAATATAAAGTTGGCTAAACGTTAGATGAATCTATAAGCATTCAATGTTACTCCAATTTTAGAAGTTATTGTGCTTTGCAAGAATTTTTTTTAATAGCGTGGATAATGTGGAAATGCTTTCAAGTGCCAGTTGCTACACTTGGCCCAAATTATTATTTAGGCAAGTGTGGGAGCCGTTTTGAGCAGAGCGAAGTCCCAGTTACAGGCGTAATAATAATCCTGTGCATCCGATGTAGCACAAGGTCTCAAAGGTCCTTCACACGATAAAATGTAGTGAGTGCATATTTGTAGATGAATGCGGCAGCCAATTTCTGCAAACAGTCATGAAGTGAGCCAATTGATTTGGGGGATTGTTGGCTGGGACACTGGAAGAAACTCCCTTCTCATTTTTGAATATCATGGAATCCTAACATTTACCTGAAAAATGGGCAGATGGGATCTTGGTTTAATGTTGCATCCGAAAGCCAGCTTCCCCAGACATCTTAGACAATTCAGTGCTTTCTCAGTACTGAACAGGGGAGGGGCATCAGCCAGGACTATGACCTCAAGTCCCTATCTGGGGCTTGAACCCAAACACCCTGATTCAGAGATAGGAATGCTACCAACTGAGGCAACTTCCACGATGTTTAGGAAGGAAAAGTAGCTCTGTGCTGTAAGTTGCCCGAAGGTGTTTTAAACAGACACAGATGAACACTATTACATTTCTCTAGAATTAAATCTTGGAACTTATTTAAAAAAGTAATAATCTACGGATACAGAGAAAGGGCTTGAATAATCTATGTAAACCCTAACATTCTGCCTTAACTTCTTTCTGTACTTAGTTGCTTTTGGATTTTTATTCTAAGGATTTACAGTCTAAGTTAAATGCACAGTATCAGAACTAGCAGAAGCATGTTGTGCAGAAATGAACAAGCTGAGTTCATCGAATCTTACATCTTCTGGTCATGTTATGACTGTTTAAGTTCCTGAGTCCCCAAGGTTATGCACTCTCAACACCAGCAAAACATCACTTAGGAACTGATTATCTGCTTTATACCATATAATTTTTAGTTAATAAGAATTTCTTTCAACTTTGTAGCTGATGAACCTGAGGTTATGTGACATCATCTTAAAAGACTTAAATGGAGGAAGAATTGGTTTCCTGGTAACTCAAGTTTGCTTGTAAATAGAGAAATTGTTTAGATAAAATATGTTCAGTGAGCACACTAGATACAATGATAATAAATAAACAGCATTATCTGATTGCTTATTTGAATGTCCCATCAAACTAACACTTTTTTTCAACAGAACCTTTTCCCAGTCACAAGTTACAACCTTTCGTTCAGGTGGAGAAAATAAATAGGTTAATTTTCAACAAGGTCGTGGATGGGATTAAAATAATATCCATGGGTGGGGTCTAATACTTTATGGAGCACCGCTGAGTGATATTTAGGTGTGGCAGACGTCAACACTCAAGACCCAACACCATCAGTGTGTTGGGAGGTTCCCATTTCTACCATAGGAAGGCATGAAGAAAAGTCCAGGCGAGTTCCTGGAAGATGAGAGAAAATTAGGAAAATCCCTGTCACAGCTGTGAAGCTCCATGTGTTTGACTTGGCTGCACAAGAAGCAGGTCGCTGTCTGCCTCAGAAAATGTGATGCCTGGCCATCTACCATTCCCATTCTAATAATTCTACAAAAGGTTACAAGCAGAAGCTCTGTGTTCACTGGTGCTCAATCCAATCCCCAAATTTATTTCTCCTTTTATTTACATTGAAATGTAACTAAACGTACGACCTGAAAGTCAGACAATTTTACTGTGTACCCTCACTAAATACAGGGCAGCTTGGTTTACTGTGGACCTGCATTATATCTGAAACTTGATACTGGCGTTGACTGGCCAACTCCTAGCTGTCTGACTTTCAGGTCGTCACATTGCTGCTAACATCACCTCTTGTGTTTGCGCTTCCTGTGCTTAGTGGCTATGAACGGTAGCAGAGACCTGACAATTTAGAAGTCAGCCATTGTTTTGTGCTTCGTTATAATGTGGCCATTGAGATATTGAACCCTGATGGCTGTGTTACTTTGTACTATTCTCTACCCCACTGCTCCCCTTGGTTGAGTTTGCCTAATTTAGCAGAGATCAAGGATCACACTTAGGACCTTATTGGTGTATAAGGGCAGACGCAATGTCCCAACACATTTACTTATCAAGTCATTTGGAGTGGGTTTTAGATTTCAGACCGGTTTTGTTTCTTCATTTACCTCTTTGAGTCAATAGAGAATCAGCCTGTGTAGTTGGTTCGTGTATATTTGCAGTATGTTTGGGTTGGTGATCTATGAAATGTACCTCCAGTGGGTTGGTGGAGACATGGGACCTACTTTAGAATTCTCCATTGTTGTCATGTTTATCAACAATAGCAACAACAAGAAGATTACATTTGTATAACGCCTTTCACGTTGGGAGAGGTGCTGGACAGTGTACAGCATTTCAGACCTGAGCTGGGGTCAGGGGGGAGAAGGGAGGGGAAGAGGGGTGACCAATGGTATGGTCGAAGAGGAAGGTCTTGAGGCGGGACTTGAAGGAGGCTAGGGAGGGGTCGAGGCGGAGTGATTGGGGGATGGAATTCCAGAGGTTGGGGGCAGAGTGGCTGAAGGCTCTCCTGCCAATGGTGGGGCGGGTGGGTCGGGGGACGTGAGCAGGCCAGAGCCGGCTGAGAGGAGGGAACGGGCGGGTTGGTGTGGGTTAGAAGGTCACAGAGGTAGGGTGGGGCGAGACCATTGAGGGCTTTGTAGGTGAGGACCAGGATTTTGAATTGGATCCTCTGAAGGATAGGGAGCCAATGGAGTCGGGCCAGAATGGGGGAGATGGGGTCACGGAGTTTGGTGCGGAGAGGACACGGGCTGCAGAGTTCTGGATTATATGCAGCCTGTGGAGGGAGGAGTTGGGAAGGCCGACAAGCAGGGCATTTGAATAGTCGAGCCTGGAGGTGATGAAGGCATGAACAAGAGTTTCAGCGGCCTGAGGGGTGAGGTAGTGACGGAGTTGGGCAATGTTACGGAGGTGAGGGAAGGCAGAGCGGGTCATGGCTTGGATGTGGGGAAGAAAAGACAGTTGA